TGTTTCATACAGATATTAAAAAGAGAAAAATAAGTATTTTAAAAATGAAAAATCCTTAACTAGATGTCATATATACTATCCGAGGGACAAAAGCTATACATTGTATATTATTACATAATAATAATATGAAAATAATAGAATAAAAAATCCGTCAAAACCAACGAAACGTATTTATATTAAAGAATGATTCTGTATACATTGTAAATACATTGCTTTTATGTATGCGTATATATCATATTATTTGATATTATGCAACTCTAAGAGTACGATATGCAGCTGCTATACACGACTATGAAACTTCTGTCACATGTYGTATAGATATATAAGTCCCCTAAACTTGTGGTGGTCCCGGCGATACCTAATGAACTATATATGTTATCTCCAACTGATTGCCCCAAACCAATGTTGCTAGATGCTATATATCGCATTGTTAYATAATAATATATTTTTCAGGGTTCCAATAACATGCCTAACCTGACCTAACCTGCAGAAACACTCCTCTTTTTCATGTCCCTGCATCTTTCTCTAATTATATCTGATCAATTTCACCTCTATTCATATATTTTAAGGCTTTGCTGTCCTTATCGATTTAATTAAAAAATCGAACTTTCATCGGCCCTTGTTTCTGATTTTTGTTTATACAATTTTTTATCATGAAACTTTATATGAAATTTATTATTATTTTTAAGCATTGTAAATTTTATTTTATCTATATAGGTATATAGACAATAATACGTAAAAAATGGTTATTGTTCATATAGCTTATAGGTACTCGCGTGACATTATTAAATGGGTTAATAATATATAGGTATTAATATAGGTCAAAAAAATCATGTAAAAATCAACGAAAGATTTTAATATTATACAACGCAAATGTATGCAAATTTCCTATATACATATAAATATCATATTATGAGGTTCTAATGAGCGGACAATGCGCTTCGTCCTGTGCACGTCGATGCAACTGCATCGATCACAGCACGTACGGTATGATGGCTTTCCTTTCKCGGGGGTAGTCCCGGAACTTTTCTTGATACCACCGGTGGCTGATAAGCGCTATCTCGAACTGATTGCCCCACACGAACGCAATCACGTACTTCCATCCGGTGCCGCCCCACAGCACGGCGTACCAGGCGCCGTACATGACCACCTCGGTGAGCATCTGTGGACTAGAGACGAGGTCGAACAGTCCACCGGTGATCATGATGTGCTCGTGCGTAACCACCCGACCGCCGCGCTTCCTGGCCTCGGCCAGCGCCACGTTGGCCCTCCACTGTTCGCGGTACGCCCAGGCGAATACCAGCAGGGCCCCRACCAGCCGGACAGACTCCAAGGCGCTGGACTGTTGCTTGCCCGCCGTCGCTGCGACSGGCGCCTCGGCCAGCACGGTGACGATGGCGCCTGCGTAGTGCATGTAACCGGACGCGTAGTACCACAGCCCGATCGCCGTGTCCGAGAACACGTTTACGCGGTACGTTTCGTACGTCCGCTTGGCGCACTGGAGCACGAACATGCCGACGGCCGTGGACGCGGCGGCCGAGCTGTACGACGACTCCGGCCGCCGCACAGGGTCCCACAGCCACCGGCGGCACCACGCGGCGGCCGACGGCCACGGGGTGCTCGCCGCGTACTCATCTGACAGGGCCAGCGCTGCCATCAGCGACAGGGCTAACGAGAACGCGTAAAAG